TAAGACACTGTTATTCATTGCTAGTAGCCAGCCAACATACGCTAAGCCAAGGGTGTGTATGTAAGGGTAATGATAAATTCAATCAATATAATGCATCTTATGTAAATATAGTCTAGAAGTCTGTCGTCGAATAATTTTATTAATGAGTGTATTTTCAAAAAAGAAATTTTAATCTTCCAAATTGGATCCATCGTCTTTCATTAGTCTTGTTGTTGGTAACTTCAACCACGTAATGTGGGTTCAACTTATTTTCGACTACGACTGAAGTCAGTTTAGTTTTAAAAAAAAGGCTTTTTCTAGCGGGATTGCTTCCTATACCGATAACAGAATAAATACCAATAGCCATCCCAAATACTAGTTAAAGTCGTAGATGCAAGTAATGAACCTAATGAGTGATCTCACTAAATTGAATATTTCAACGCAAATAAATTTAATTTATTCAAATTTAAAGACCGCGTGCCACATTATTTTTTATTTTTTATTTACATATTTAATTTTTCATTTACACGCTAAAGTTATTATTATAATCGCTGTTTGCCCCATTTGTACATTAATTTTATGCAATTAATATTTTCCTCCGTTTTTCGTATGTCTGAGTCATTGTTTTATCAAATTGCTAGATATTTGAGATGCCAGAGACTCGTGATATTGGGTCAATTTAACAAATATAAAGTTTTTGCCTCATTACATGAAACACGGTAGGAGCTAATTTTGATAAAAATCACTTTTACACATTCTCTATCTACATATGTCTAGAGAGAATCGAATTAATTATTTAAATAAATTGCATCGTAAGAATAATTGTATCAATAATATTTTAATGTTAAATTTAAAAAAAATGAATTGTACAGTGATGAGTGTTGTAATTGTTGCACCATGGTATCAGATAAAAAGCCCCAATAATAATAGTAATAATATAAGCGCCCATTAAATTCACTACTGTAATATTTATTTATGTTTTGTCATTCGTGTTTTCAGTATAAGTCCAACATAAATTGCATTATATTTTGTTTGCTCAAACTCAAAATACTTTTCCTCTAAAACATAACCTCTTAGCATTGGGCTCATGGCTAAAAAGACTGAGGGTAAAAAAAGTTGGATTTTAACAAAACATGTATGACGCACGCCGATTATTCAAATGCAATTTAAGTGTTAAAATATACTAGTGGTCCCGCAGTAGTCGAAATTCGACTATAATTAATTGAAATTGTAAGTTTGTAAACTATTATTCTATTTTCAAACACTATTATACTTCTATAATCACAAATTTCGCCAAGAATATTAATAAAGACAAACAATATTTAATCTATTCTGATTCTCAATTTGATCACAGACGTCAAGAACAAAAGTTTGACAATAAATGAATAGTATGCACGCGTGTGTGCGTCAAATACATGGTAATGTTTTTTTTTATTGATTTAATGTATGTTTTAGGCATAATTTTAAAAATTATTAACATTCTGCTTTCCTTCTCTATATTCTCTATAAGTATGGGAAATTTCATACTCCTCCTCCGTAAAAGGGGATACAAAGTTTTTCCTTCACGTATTAATATATAGATATAACATGTATGAGTAATCGCATTGCATGTGCGCAGCCTAATAGCGCATACGGCTTGAGTACAAGGCCATCAGTATTTTGTTCCGCTCTATTCGTCGTAGTGACGTAACTAGATATACCTACCATTATAACTATAGTGTAATAATAGTAGATGAACATACAGCATAAGCGTGCTCTAGTATCGACAATTCGTCGCGATGTTTGAATATTCGTGAGTTACGTAATAGATACGCATCTTTTTTATCGCTCTTTGTGTGTAGCTGATGTTAGAAGTGATATTAAGCGGGTGCCAGGGCCAATAGGCACCTTAACATCCATGCCACTGGCGCACCTTGAAATATTACACTCAAATAATGCTTATCCCTTTCCTAGACTGGATTTTCGAAGTAATACAGTTGATAAAAAGGATAAGATGGATCTAGAAAAGAAAAAGACAAAGCTTGCGAAAGTGTTCGCTCCCAAATGCTGCTCCTTACCATGGTAGAATCAATCCTATGAATTGAATATTATTTTCAATGTTCATCAGGGGTTTCATGTGGAATGTATAACGTGTAGTAAATGTACGGTGGAATAGTAAAAATAAATTAGTCAGGACAAGTACAAAAAACTTCATATTGTTTCTTCGCTTCTTCATTCAAACCGCAGATTTTTGAAAATATACAATGTCAAATACTATTCGTACGTAATACGTATAAACTTTGTTAATTTTTTTAGGTTCATAACGCAATCCGTTCTAGAAAATTTAATTAATAATAATAAATGTTCTATTGAAATACGTACATAATAAATGATCACCAGTAACTTCCACGATGAAGGAATAATATCGTGTAACGTAAATAAAACCCAAAAATAAAAATAATTTGTGTAAGTAGTGATGGTAGCGCATTGTGAGCTCATACAGATAGATTCCACGACTCTGCCTATTTCTGCCACGAATATTGCGTTTCGGTTAGAAGGGTTTTTTTTTATTACCTATCTGATAGCCTTGAGAGGCTATTTCAGCTTCGCCCTAAAATGTGTAGGTAGTGTAGGTAGCTCACGGGGTTCAAGCCGGAGTGTTGCTAACACTGGCCCTAGCAAGAGCAGTGCTTCGCAGAATCTACCACCGGATCGGAAACGCGACCCACTGAGAAGATCCGGCGAGAAACTCAGTGGGCTAGAGGGGTCGGGTAGCCGTTTTACTATCAAACTAACACATAAAACTCATGTCTCAAAGTGTGTGTCGGCATTTAAGTTGTTGATGTCCATGAGCTCCGGTGACCATTTAACAAACCGGTGGGCCGTAAACTCGTTAACCCATATAAGCAAATAAAAAAACGGAATCAAATTGATTTTGTTTATACCACACTGCACGACTCCGGAACCCCAAAATATCACTTCGACGATTTTCTATACCTAATATGCGAGTTTCTTTATCATCGTTACTATTTTTTCAATTTACAATTTACTCTACAACTGAATAACAAATATATTTTCCTCATACTAAATTGTCACGTCTATACTACACGTAGTATACAGGGTTACATAATTCAAATTGTCATAATAAATAAAATCGTTCCAATGCTACAATATAATTTATAGGTCGTATTTTGAATGTATTAAGAATGATCTGGCTAGACCGATAATAAACGGCGACTTAAAAGTGATGACTTTTAATTTCTACCTTTAGTTCGTTTGCAATAGGTGGATAAAAACTAAATTTCGACTTTTTGGCGGGAACGCGAGGAGTGAAGTTGTGTGATTTGTTTAATTTTGTCTATTTAGTGTTTTTTCACGCTTAAATGTACACTAACGGTGGTTTATGAACTGTTTAATATCTGTGATAATGCACAAATCTGGGAAAATGAAACAAAGTCGCTGGACGTAACTTCTCGGGATCCTCCAAAAAGTCCACTGAAAAAATCTCAGTAAATGACCACCATGATACTGAGATTATATTTCATCCCATATCATCTTATTTCATTTCATTTAATTTCATCCCAGTTGATTAATGTCATTTCATTTCACTCCATATTATAATTTTTCATAAAAATAAGAATATAAATTAAAATAAGACATGACTTAAAGGTCTTTGTGACCAGGTCATAAAATCCTTTTAAAAAAAACCCAAATTTCAAATAGGTTAAACTTGTGGCTTGGAACTTAATGGTTGCAAGACATTCTTTTTTCAACGTATCTTTGGACAGCTGTTACAGAAACCTTCGAAGCGACTTGTATGGGAATTAAAATAAAAATTAAATCGAATTGCGGTGGATATACAGAAAAACGGAGAACAGTCGATAGTTGTATACACAATCTAAATATACAAGCACAGCCCTGCTGAATAGTAATTGCCGGCACCTTGACTTTTGTTTATGGCTTATTGCATCGCGTGGGCGGCAGACGTCTCATGTGAACCGACGCTTATAAAATTAGAATAGGGTCAACGGGACTACACCGCGCGATACTAGATACCATAGATAATACACATAAATTAGTTATACTAATTTTTTTAGTTTATAACCTTCGCTTTTAAATGTACCCACCCCCATTGTAAATTGTCATATATGGCTTGCGCTATAGCAGTATTACATTTTAAATAATATGAAACAAATAAAATTAATTAATTGAAATTACACAATTACTGGTACTAAAGCGTATTGTGAATACCATTCGAAACTACTAGCCTATATCTTCTACGAAGCACGTACTTTTCGATTTAAGAGTGGGAGGAACTGTTAGGCGAAATAGATTTAAACTTTATGGTTCGAATTTAATATCGGTGAATTATGTTTTCTATAGACGTCGGTAGCTGTATTAGGTCATGATCTCGTTCAATAATATCGCCCTAAATACGTCATCACGGATCCTCCCGATCCATTAACGGTGCTTTTAGGTACCTCAAGCACAGGTCATCGTCCTCGCCAAACCCGTCACTAGCGACGAAGGGTTCGACCAGTAAATTAACCCATAGATAGCCCACTGAGTTTCTCTCTGGATCTTCTCAGTGGGTCGCGTTTCCAGTCCGGTGGTAGATTCTGCGAAGCACTGCTCTTGCTAGGTCCAGTATTAGCAACACTCCCGGTTTGAGCCCCGTGAGCTCACCTACTCGCCCGATTATGCTGACATAGCCTCTCAAGGCTATCAGCTTAGGTAGGGAAAAAAAGTTCAATAACTTTGAGCAATAAAATCTAAGACAATCAACACAACAAAACATTTTAGTGTAATCTACATTGTTTAGTATAAACATTACCAGAAATCACAGTTTCCTCATTAGCTTGACCACAGAAGAGTGTGTTTCCAAGGCCGTATTTAGTTTTGGCATTAGTTCGACAAAATGAAATAATTCGACCCACTCTATGACCAGAAACAAAAATGCGACATACAGACCGAAGAATTTCCTGGTCTTATTTGCTTTGTTTGTATTGATAACAGTCTCACCATGTACTTTTCCTTTTCAGGTCGCCAATTCAAAGCGCATAAGGTGATACTGGCCGCGTGCAGTAAACATTTTCAAGAGCTATTCGACACGGCGCCACCTAGCCATGCGGGCGCTTGTTATGTCATTTTGGAGGCTACCACTGCCGACAACATGCAGGCCCTCCTCGAATTCATGTACAAGGGCGAGGTACACGTCAGCCAGGATGCCCTTTCAAGCTTTCTTAAAAGCGGCGAGAATTTACAGGTAAAGTTACCTATGAAGCCATTTATCCGTTTTTAAGGAGTTAGGATTTCACATGTCCTTTCTCTTTTCAGATTAAGTTATCCAATTTCTTATGTTTTACATAAATATTATAATAAAATTCAAAGTACATTTAAATTTTTGGTCTGTTTATCAACCGCTTTTTATATATTAGCTATTTACAGTTTTTAGTGTTGAAAACATAAATAAAAATATTAAAGTAATCTAAATCTTGAGACATCAGTGAATATGGTCGAATTTTGATCATTAGGCCAGTACAAAAATCATTACAATTCATACCTTATCTAACTAATATTAAATTTTGTAACGCATTGTGTGTCGTCGAAGGCCGAGGTTGCTCTTTGTTTTGACAATTGTCAATTTGAATACCCATCCAATCTTAACAACTCCGATGTAAATTTAAACAAGTGTCCTGCATGTAACTGAATCAGTACACCGAACAATTTCAAGGCTTATTGAATTTACTTTTAAAAATAATATCGTTTCAGGTCAAGGGTCTGTCTATGGAAATGTCCCAGGATGCTTGGGTAAAACAACAAACACAGCAATCATCTGGAGAACGTCACCAAACACGTATAAAGACAAGTCCGGTATCAGGGTCGGGGAATTGTGAGGTCCAAGAGTCTACCCCTCTGCAACCCCACAATACCACTTTCGCTCCAATTATGCCCCAATATGGACTGCCCATCCATAGCGGTGGAAACATAGGGCGATTTGCGCCCTCCGGCCACCACTTGCCAATACACCCGTCTCACCGCCGACCAGCGCCTCCAAAGTCCTCTCCATGCCAGAGTCCGATCACAAGGAATTACAGGTAATGATGAGTTCAGTCAGCATCTACATTCATTTATGACCGGTATAGGGGAGAATGACGAAAACTCCATTTCTGAAATTCCAGGCAAAGTTCTTCATCATCGCACTGCGGGAGTGTCGCCGACGAGCCGGACACCCGTTCATCGCCTGGAGCTAGTGCTAGATATGAGGAGAACCCCCCAGACTGCACATCGACCCACGGCAATCCGGTTAAGAACAACGGCTACGAACGCAGTGCATCCGCTAACGACGAAATAATGGAACGCTTGCCAAACGACCAGGGTGCTGAAGGTATTAAAACTATAATAGCTGAAGAAAGATCCAAAAATCATTCAAGCAATACATTTCGCGATAAGAAAAAAAGTATGTCTGAATAGAATTTTTTGTTTGTTAATTTGCACCTTATTTATAGAAAGCAGTTAAAATGCTTAATAAGAAATGTTGCACCTCTCACGATAAATTATTTTCCTTGCAAAATAACAATGACACATTCATTAATGATGATTCCAGATTTACGGGTTAAAAATGATAATGATTACCACCCAAGTGGGGGGTACAACAATTCGCCGCCACCGGCGCCGTCCATTACCGGCACCAACTACCATGAGAAGCCGATAGAGACTTCGGTGCCACCCAAACAAAGCCCCGACATTTGGCCAACGAAAATTATAACCAGCAAATCTGGAGGAATCGCTACTGCTGACGGTAAATTTATAACTCAATAATATATTGAATCTATATGTAGGTAAAACTTTATTAATCTTTGTCGGGTGTGAAATAAACAGTGCATAATGCACTATTATTATACTTCAAAATTATATTTCTGAAGTCGTCGTAGCCTAAAGGATAAGACGTCCGGTGCATTCGTAGCTAGCGATGGAGCACCGGTGTTAGAATCCCGCAGGCGGGTACCAATTTTGCTAATGAAATACATACTTAACAAATGTTCACGATTGACTTTATCAAACTCGCAAAATTTTAATTTCCGTAATTACTGGTGGTAGGACCTCTTGTGAGTCCGCTCGGCTAAGTACCACTACCCTGCCTATTTCTGCCGTGAAGCAGTAGTAGTGCGTTTCGGTTTGAAGGGTGGGGCAGCCGTTGTGACTATACTGAGACCTTAGAACTCATATCTCAAGGTGGGTGGCGGCATTTACGTTGTCGATTTCTATGGGCTTACAGTACAGAGCACGTCCACCCATCTAAGCAATAAAAAAAGTCTACGAATTATAAAAAATAAACATCTTTATCGAACGATGAAGAAGTTCATGGTTATCATTATTAAAACCAATTGCCGTACAATTCCAGGAAAGAAACTGAAATGCCCATATTGCGAGAGACTATACGGATACGAGACAAATCTACGGGCCCACATCAGGCAGCGGCATCAGGGCATCAGGGTGCCGTGTCCGCACTGCTCGCGCACATTCACGCGCAACAACACCGTGCGGCGCCACATCGCGCGCGAGCACCGCCACCAGGTCACGCCGCACATCTCCCAAGGACCACTACCGAACCACACGCAGTAAGATCGATCGCGAACATGCTAAACTCTCAAACTTGTAACCGAACTACCTCTGTACTTTCCGGCCAGCGAGGGCGACCGTAAATCTACCTCTTTAATGTTAAATGTATCCAGTGGAGTATAATTTTTTGACGTTTAATTTTATAGACTGCGCTTGTGGATGTCCTTATGTCCCTGGTCGCCCTCGCCGGGCCGCGAACGGTACGTAACAAACGTACAATAAATTACCTCGTCGATGCATATTATAAAAAAACAGTATCTACCTCAAAATTTTATCTTAAGATTTTAAGGTTTGAATTGTGCGATAATTGTTACTTAATTTAATGTTCAGGTGTGACTACGAATGGTTGCTCAGTACTCGTATCTGTCTGGTACCGTGTTTTAAAAATATTGTACCCCGTGTAATAGCGCCCGCATCACTTTTATGTACCTTAATTATGCAATTTATAGTAATATGTCCAGTTGACTGTGAGATAAAAGTTACCTTTATATTCGTTTTATTTTGTGCTCTCGGTCTAGTTATCACGTACCTTATTTCAATACCCAGAACTAGGGAATCTTAGATATGTTGTTGAGACTGATGGTCATAGGCTAAGTGTGTGTAAATAATAGGAGAATGTTGTAATCGCCTTGGCCTAGGTTGAGACATTTGTTACTGCACCCTGTGGCAAAACTACCTCTTTATATTGAATACATTATTTTTTTCTTATAGTTTTTATTGAATACATTCTAATGCTTTGTGCTCATAATGACAATAGTCTAGATATTTTAAGTTTACACATAAAATATATCTGTGATACAAAACCAATCATTACAATATCGAACAGGCCGTATACTTAATGATAATTTCCTCATATTGCCACATTGTATGTATTCGTACGATGAGATAAATGCGAAAAAATACGAAAATAGGGTTTCAACAGTTTTTTTTTTTAAATACACATTGAATTTAAACGGGCTTCAGTTTTGTACAAAGTACAATTTGCCGTAGATTCTAAGTAGTTAGGGAAAATCGAAAAAAAAAAAACGTGTTAAATTTTCGCATGTAAGGGCTGATGCGTGAATGTGTTTGATAAATCCATTTCTGCAGTACGCAACGGGCTCGCCTGTAGCGGATGTTACTATTCATACCAAATAATTATATGTTTCATGGCGATGGTATCGATTTTAACATTCCGTTAGGTTTCTTATCGTAGTGCATTTAGAAGGCCACTTACTGCTTCTTTATTCCTAGTCATTACAAGTGCAACCAGTTGAGATTTTTTGAAAGAGGATAATTATTTTATTGATAAATTGTGGGAGTCTTGCGGTGTCATTGTATTATATTTTGTTGAGTCGTCGCCGCGGGGCTCCGTCTCGTGTTAATCTTTTATTATAAATTCAACTGCAATAATTGGTCTTAGGTTACAACGGTCAGTGCCAAATAACTTCAATTTTAAGTTGACATTCGTTTGTATTATTTATTATTGTCGTGAGTGAATGTAGCGTCTGTGTGTTATATTCCTGATATTTAGGAATAAGTTGCATTCATATTTATTATTATATTTACATTTTAAGATACAATTATAGAATATATTATAGACGAATGTTTATCAAGGCTAAGTGACTTTTATATATTATTATTTTAGATTCAGTTTTTATCTACCGTTGAAAAGACAGCGTTTTAGTTTTCTTTTAAATGGCTATTATTATTCCTTTTATGTAAATTTTTAGTCACATTTTACTGAGAGTATTCAATTTGTTGTTATTTTTGTTTGACGAATTCTTTGAATTGATTAGTTGACGGAAAATCTCCGATGTTGAGATATTCGACACAAGAATAATCTCGAACGATTACGCATTATACAAATACCAAATAGAAGCTAATAACAGTTGATTTGAAATTTTCAAGCTTTTTATCCGAATAGACAGGCCATTGAGATTTTTGTATGTAAATGTATTTGTTTGATTAAAACCAAACCCTACAAATGAATGAAATAATAATTACGTTTTTGAAAGGTAAGCCTGTATTGATTTCCAGTTCATCAAACAATATCGGTAATGGGGAGATATTTAGTTTGAAGTGGTAAAAGTTCACGGACTTCAATTATGCACTATTAGACAATAAAAAAAAAATTCATTTTCATATTTCCTTCATTCCGAAGCGAGGGTATAAGCTTTGATTGATGTTATTTAGACCGACAGATGATGGCAAATAGTGAACGTGGCTTATATTTTTTGCGTTTAACGTAAGTAATTATCGCACATTGAACACACGTTTTATTCTTGTCTGTGACTTTAACACGTGGTTGGCGGTGGTCTCTTTCTACTGAATACAGCTTAAGATGGGTTCAACAATATACGACGAAATAACTTGTCGGGAAACAAAAAAAATAAACTGATTATCGGAATAACATATTTCCGACAGTACCTACCAATTGTTGAGAGATAAATTATTGAACATACACTGACCTAGAAATTTGAGAGCCTAAATAGCTTACACGTTAGGTTGTCACACGTATTGACTTCTCTACGTGGCTCCCCTTGTGGTCAGTTATAGGGCCGGTATATCGATGTAATGACATGATAAATCCAGTGCCTTCTCGAATTTTCTGCAAATCGAAATCGGAGACTTGGCTTATTAAGACAAACGATGTTCGCACGTATCGCTTCATCATATTCGTGAGTTGAGTTTTTCTTTTTTCGTGTTAATCCATTTTATTGGCGTCATATTTCAGTAAGCGTTTTTAATTGTTCAGTTATAATAAAAACATATTATTTAATATTATCTCGCTAAGCTAAATAAAATTGATGTTAGCATTCATATATTTTAATTGTAATTCGTTTAAAACTACAATTATATATTATATTGTTCTATTTGCGTTTATTTTCTTCTTTTATGAATTCAAAATTCATAGTTGTGATTTCTTTTTTGACATTTAATGTTTTTTGTGATACGTTATAAAAAATTGCATTAATGCGTCACGGTTTATTTTTAACATTAATTTAGCTTTTTATTCATTACTGTTCTCCTTTATGTGTGTCGATTGATACTTGTAACTTGTACTACTGTTTAAATCAGTGATGTCTCGTTAGCACCAAGAGAACATTGCATGTTAAAATCAATAACATTGGCTTCTTTAAAAAAAACAAGGTACAACTTTTAGATTACATTTGTCAATTTCATTGTAAAGTTATTAAGTTTTCTTTTTTAATGAAAAATAATAATAATTCATTATTTAATAATATTACTAGCGTGTTATAAAAAATCAGCGCACTTTGAATAATATAATTGTCTTAAATTAAGTTGTGTCATGTAAAAGTAATTAGTGGACAAGTTAATAGTTGTAATGTTTGTATTCGGTGTGATAGGATTCACGTCATGTTGGTGTATTTCAGTCCTCTAATATTAGACCGATCTCCCACTACCAATGGCTGTTATGATAAGGCAATCGTTTGACAAAGGCACGTTGGTCACACTTCTCATTCCGAGTTTCCGGTAGTTTATGAGGAGTTTGACCAAAATATGTAAGTTGGATCCAACGTTTGTTATGCGAAAGAAATTTATCGATTTTTAATTAGAAGTTCAATTTGTTTCGCACGACGATCACTGCATTTATGTGAAGCGTATAAATTTGGTTCCGCATTGGGTTTTGCGTTATGGTTAGTTTAAGTTTGTTTTTAAGATTTTATTTCTTTTTTTTTATTTTATTAAGTGTACAATAATCGCGAATTGTCGTGATGGTAAAGCCAAAGATTGTTACGGGTAAGGTGACCCTCTGCCGTCACACGGGCTTCGTAAGAAAATTACATTCAAACTCTTAAGTCTGTGGTTTAAGATCTATTTTCGACTAGCAAAGTTCGGATGTAATATCTTACAAGGCCCATTTAGTTTTTAAGATTATCTACCTCGAGGAATATAGAACTAGTTATTAAGTAATCTATAAGTAGATTTTTTATATGAAGAAGAAATAAAAAATATTAGATTATAAGCATATAATATGCGAAAAAAAAAAGTACAAATAAACTACCTCAGGATTCAACTTTAGTGATTTGAAAATTTTAATCTTAAAATGTCCTTCAGACGTAATGTATCAGTAAGTTTATTGAATTAAAAAAATATAATTATATATTTATATTATCTATTAAAATTTGCTCGGAGCTTAAACATTTCAGGTAATAGTTAATGAATGTACGTAGATATCTATATAGAGCTGGACGGAAATTGCACTTTTCATTTGAATCTCTGCAAGGTAGTGTGTACACTGTATACTCGACTCAGTGTTGCAAGCTCAAAATATTACAGCGATAGCTTCGGAAGTGAACGAGTCGAATGTGCTGAGTTGAAGGTCTAACTGTTAGTTAGTAAGTGTTACGTAGGCTAAATGTAATAATCTCATTAAAATTATGTCTTTTTCGTAAGCAGCACAGCCGCGGGGGATCGGTCGCGATTCATTTCACGTAATCTAAATGTACCTTCCTTCACTCTCCGGAGTATAAATTTTTTTTATTCGTATTTTTATTATTATTTTTTTTCCAGTTAATATTTTTGTGTTGCATAGATGTTACTATGTTTTAAGGAGGTGAAAAAAATAAAAAAATTGAATTGAAAAAATTATTGTTTGTTAGGTTTCTGCGAATTAAAAATTTTTTGTCACAATTTTTTTTTTGTTTATTTTTTCCTTTTGTTTTACGCTTAATTTTTTGTTTTTTTTTTCTATTTTTATTCAAGTTAACAAGTTACACCCGTCCATCGTGTTTAATGTTTATCATGATAAATTTAAGTAAATTATTTAAGGAATTGAATTTTACCTAAGTACCTGCGCAATGTTCAAAATCTAGTTGCACTTAACCGGTAAATAAAATTATTGGATGTGTTTTTGTTTTTAATTATAGGTATGCACTTAAATAAACGGTCTCGTGAATAAAATAAAACTTTTACGAATTTGATAAAAAAATAATATTTTGTCGCATTGAATGTTATGTAAGTTGTGCAATCAAATTGAATGAAGATTGGAGCTCGTAATGCATGTGACAGATTGCTTTAAGATCGAAAAAGAGTGAGCCTACTTCTGAAATTTTCTAACTATTCGGGTTTTTGCAATATAATTCTTAACATCTCGATGTTTGACGTAATATTATGACGGAACTTTCGTCATCATGAAGTGTAAATAAGACATTTTTTCTGTCTCATCTGTACGTGTTTTAATATCTTACCTTAGTTCGATTCGGGTAAGTCTCGGTGTTACATGATAAGTTCGTTGTATCATCTGCATGTATATGTGAAATGTTTAAAAAGTATAGTTACGATTCTTAATGTAATCGCAAAGAGCACTTTCCGTATGAGGACACAAAGTACAAATTTACGAAGTCTTAAATTGTGACTGCCAGTACAAATTAATTTATAAACAAAAATATAAATATATATGTATGTATATATCTATAATAATAAATTGGAAAATCATTTCTTATTTTGAAACTTAACGGGTTTTACGTGAGCGTTGGCCAAAAGCGTATTTTTCGGGCGTCACTTAAATAAAAATTCGAATTAGATTAAAAGTGGCAAGAACAGATATATTATGGTGTTGTTAAAACGGAATGTACGGCAGCCCGCTTGTGGCGAGTGGAAACATGGGAACTTGAGCACTGGTTAGCATTTATTTCTCGTATGTATTTCATTATTTTCAGTTACAACGTGAAAGCGAGGGGTATGTAGAACGGTCGTCATCTTGTAAGTGGTCGGGAAAGCACGTTTGAACAGTGACTTATCAGGTGTAATATAAACCAGGATGGTTGTAAAACTATTTAAGTAGGATTTTGTACGTAGCAAAGTAATGCTTAAATAATTAATCGCACGTCAGGTCGGTGGTCTATGTCTGTAAAGGAAAAGTGATTGTCTGTGATTTTTTTAAGCGACTTTTTTATATATATATGAAAATATATAATATAATTCTTTAACAGTAAGAGAATAGCACCACTTGTGATTTTAGATATTTTATTAGTTCGTTTTTGTTTTTTTGTACTGTACGATAGAAGTATAGATTTAGCGAGTGGTGTCGTAGCGTGGAATGAAGCGGGTTGAATGTACATATAAATTATACATAATGTAATAAATATATTTATAGGTATATAACAAAAAGCCTACGTATCGTTCGAGATCGAAAGCTCCTTGAGGACGTTGCTATTTGTTGGCAAAAGCGTCGATAAATTGCTAATCGAAGCGAAGATCGGCTGCTCCTTGGAAGTTTTTCGTTCTCGAACTACGGTACTTGATGTCCACGACGTCAGAAAGATAAGGCAAATGGTTAGACCACATGCTTGTTTGATTCATAAAGAGGCACGTGTACTTTAAAAGATTAAAACAATAATAACTCTCAATGCAAACATCATGATTATAATTTCAAATGTGCTTGGAGCTATCAAAAAATATTTGAAAAATAAAAAACCTGAAGATATTAAGTATCTTTCACCTATTACTTCTATCCTTACGATTTTAATTTGAAAAAATGATTGCTCTGAACTTTTTTCAGGAGTTTTTATTTGATTATTTCTTATAATCTTTTTTTTTATGTATAAGTACACGTGGCTCTGGTCGGTATTAGCGAATTAATTTGTGAAAATATGTATGTGACGGCCCGTGCCGTGTACTAGCGAATTTTTTAGTGTGGTAATAATATTTTGGCGTATTCTGTTAGTTACGCGATGTATTTGTAGGCATTATTGTTACGTTTTGCTTCGTAATAGAGGTCGACATTAGAAGCCCTTAACTTTGACCACTCTGTTTACGTACGAGATTTGATTGGTCCTTTGTGGTAAATCGGAGAATTTGCTATGGAAACGCGTTATCGGTGTAGCATTGAGTGAATAATCGGATTGAGAATGTGTATTATCGATGTTCAAGTGA